TGATTGGCTGAACAAGAAATAGGACTGAGAGAACTTGTAGATTCTAAAGTTTTACATTTTTTGTTTTTGACAGTAGTTTTTTTGGTACATAATTCTACATTTGTAAGTTGCACTTTCACGATAAAGAGATTGCACTTATATTAGGTGAATTGAAAAATACTATTTATTTTGCTTTTTACAGTGCAAATATTTGAAATCAATATATTTGAAAATGTAAAAAACATCCAAAAATATTTAAATAAATGGTATAAATAAATAAATTATTGTTTAACAGTGCGATTAATCGCACAGGCCTATTTATTACCTACGCCCAGGAAATAGTTAAAATATTGGCACCACTTCTCTGCACTGCAGACATTTGATAAAGACCACCAGAACAAAAGATTGAAACAAGGGTTCCTAGACAACCTCTTAATGCATTCTAAGCCACAGAGCACCTATACTCATGTTAGACTTTAACTATCCAGATATTTGTTGAGCAACAAATACAGCCAAAGATGCAGTATCAAAAAGAGGTCTTTTAATTATGCAGAAGACTACTTTATGTAAAAGAAAATGGAGACTTCTATTCTACAACCAAACGATAAGCCATTTTGGATATACATCTTGCTTGATGAGGGGGAACTGACAGACTACCAGGAAGCTTGGAATGTATGACGATGAGTTGCTTAATTTCAAGTCAACATAGTAGGGAATGAGGATTTAGAGATGCTGTTCACTGCATCTCTACAGAGGTGTTAGATTTCAGGAAAGCACATCTGGCGAAATTAAGGAATCTAGAGAGGAACGTTTGAGAGGAGGCCTCATCTAGCAGCATAGAAGGTGGCTGACTACAAGCTACCAGAAAAAGAAGACACCAAGAAATAAGAATCAGCTAACTTGGTTGCGTAAAGGAATGCTAAAAAAAAAAAAAGAATCAGTTTAAAAAAAAAAAGGGGGGGGGCAATCAAATAAACATCAGAAGCAGTTAATACTAGTAAGAAATTTGTACCATTAATAAATGAGAATGCTGAAATTAAATGACTCCTTTTTAAGCATGTATTCAACAAGATAGATACTGAACAAAATAAGGAAGACCGACCTTGTGAAATGATTCTTGAGAACAAGCAGGAAAGAGAATGCTGGGAAATATGAATATGTATATATAAGCCAGTCCAGATAACAGCCTGATCCACTGACATTTTTGAAAAAGCATGGGCAACAAGGGAAGCACCAAAAGGTGGGAGAAAAGCAAGTGTAATAACAATCTTGCAAAAAGGAAAAAAGTATAATCCTATCGATAATTGTGCCATAAATCTAATATAATGAAACGTGCTAGCAGAACAAACATCACTAAAGAAGACCCACAAGCAATAAACAACACTAAGGATTTATCAGGGGCCTTCTGAAATTATCGATTTAACCTAATCAATCATCTGCTAACTACAGCAAACATGATATGATTACGCAGAATAAATTTCTGAGCTTCCTTCTCCCGACTCCCTGAATACTGAGGTAAAGAAGATTACACTGCAATTCAATCTGTTTACTAGGGGAATGGATTTCCCTGAGAAACAGGCAACCTTCAGAGCAAAACAGCACCCTGCTTGTCAAACTAGTCCACCAGTGCTGACCTGCCTTAGTCTGACTAACACAGCCCTGAGTTTTTACACATTAATGTACATTGTTTTCTAAGAAAAGAAACCTTTCGCCCTTGAAGCATTCAATATCCATAAAGACCCCAGTCTAGCAGATTGGTATCTGATCACCATAAATCCCAAATGGGTTTTTAAACAGATTATATAATGAATGTCAAGTATCAGGGGGTAGCCGTGTTAGTCTGTATCTACAAAAACAACAAGGAGTCTGGTGGCACCTTAAAGACTAACAGATT